CCCCCCCCCCCCCATTACAGACTGCGTGTCATTCCTTAGAGTATCATTTCTTTATTTAACGATCGTACATGAGAAGACGCATAAATATGGATATAACTAAACAAAATCTTCAAGAGAATGACACGTGGTCTGAAATGGAAAAAGATAACGCCAAAGTTAAAGGGGTCTCATTCCTCGGGATTAGCCGACGCAATCGATTTTCTCTACCTGCCAGACAGTATTATATTCTTGATAACAGTGTGACGTGTCCACATGTGTTTCCTAGGATAAAGAATCAGAAGATGTGTACTGCTTTGCGCATGTGCTGTATGAGATGACATTCGGTGAACCATTGAAAATGTCAACAATATCACAGCTCCCTCCCACGTGTCCCAATGACTTAAGTAAGTACAAATACTGCATTCTTTTTGTATTTTGTATTATTTTGAGTGGGAAACGTACGCTACAGTAGCACGTACACGGTACGACATGCCGCAACATTGAAATGGCTTCCATAAGAATGGTTATCTTATGAGTGGGAAACATACGGTACGACATGCCATAACATTGAAATGGCTTCCATAAGAATGGTTATTTTATGAGTGGGAAACATACGGTACTGACTTACACCACGTACATGGTGCGACATGCTGTAACATTAAAATGGCTTCCATAAGAATGGTTATATGAGTGGGAAACATATGGTACTAACTTACAGCACGTGCACGGTATGACATGCCATAACATTGAAGTGGCTTTCCATAAGAATGGTTTTCATATAAGTGAGAAACGTACGGTACTTACTTACACCACGTACACGGTACGACATGCTGTAACATTAAAATGGCTTCCATAAGAATGGTTATCTTATGAGTGGGAAACACACGGTACTGATTTACACCAGGTACACGGTACGACATGCTGTAACATTAAAATGGCTTCTATAAGAATGATTATATGAGTGGGAAACATACGGTACTGACTTACACCACGTACACGATACGACATGCTGTAACATTGAAATGGCTTCCAATCGTTTTCATGTGAATTATCCAGTCACGATGCGTAGTCATTGCTACTCTAAGATACAGCGCTACTTATACAAGTATCATATTTCGTATGACTGCGAAACTACATTGCACGGTTACAGTACGGAATTGACGACATTTTTAGAACCAATCACGACGCGATAGAAAACTGCTCGGCCAATGGAAATGTTCGGAAACAGTACTGTCACGATCAAGGCATGGGAAATATTCTCTTTAAATACGGCTACGATTTTGTCGTTTTCCTGCTCTTGAAGAAAAAAGCTTTTTGAGAAATATCTTCGAAGTTATGCAAGGCTCTTGTCTTTCAAACTGTTGCGGTCACCCTGCGCTTTGGAGTGACAGTGTCCCTAATGTATTTATGTTTTTTCTCAGGAACAATTCTTGAGTCAATTCTGAAGGACGAACCTCTCACTAAGAAAGGACTTCCGTCGGTAACAGAGTTATTGGAATCGCCGTGAGTACTGACACTATTTTTAATCACGTTCTGAGATCTTGCCATCTTGGATCGCAAGGCACTATGGGACGTCCAGGAGGCAAAAAAGCATGTGTCGTGTTTTTTTTTTCATGGGTAAAAGGTGAACAATGTGTCGTCTTTGGCTGTAATAATGAAAAGAAAAATATAAGAAAAATAAAGAAAAATATATCATCAAGCCCCCCGTTACACCCAGTAATGTCTTGCGATCCTAGATGGCCATCGTATCGTAGTAGTCTGTTGACTGATGTGGTCATTGCAGATTGTATTCACTCGCAATTCTGGACCGTTCTGCAGTATTTAGGAAGTTTGATTTTATTCTTTAGGTTTTTCAGCTCCGTCAACCTTCCACCAAGTGAAAAGCCAATATTCAAGGTAAAACTGAAAAAAATTGCAACCACTATATCTTTCGCTCAAAGCCCTGGTCTTAGGCCCTGGCTAAACGAGGAAACATGTTTCCAGAAACATGTTTTCTTAAATGTTTTCAAAGGTGGCAAAACTGTCAGGGAACATCGGGAAACATGTTTACTCAATATCGGTTAGCGCATGCCCACTTTCAAAATAGAGCTAGCGTTGCTAAGTAACGAACTTTTAGAATGTTGACTTTCGTGGCTAAACAGCAGAAAAATTTTTGCGCCTTGGAAGCAAAATTTGCTGCACGTAGCAATGTTTCGCATGTGGCTAAACTTGGAATCATCGGGGAACATGCGCGCGGGAAACATGTTTCTGGAAACTTGTTTCCTCGTTTAGCCAGGGCCTTAGCCCCTATAGTACAAGGCAAAAGGCGGGGATCATAGAAAGCTTTTATTAACTGATATTTTTAATACCAGATTCCTAGTAAAATAAAAGAGAGTATTAGAATGGCTAAAGAAAAGGCTGAACAAAGACTAAAAGAGGACCAAAAATTTGTAAGTAGAATCATGACATCTTATATGGTTAATAGAGGCTTTGCACCATCACGTGCCGGCGCCATAATCCAGCTCGGTCTGCCTGTGGCTAGATGGCAGAACAATAAAAACCCTTTGCTCTCGGGAGTTGAATTCTTTCTTTTGTAAAACGATTGTATTGTTCGTGCCATCTAACATGGCTGCCGTCACGTGATGGTGCAAAACCTTAATATGCTTTGCGAATTTTCTCATTCAAATTTTATATTTCCTCATGATATTCGTTGAACAAGAGAAGGTTTGCAAGGGATTCTGGTAGTTGTAAATGATGTAAATGGACTATAATGTAGATGTCATCTTACATAGATTTAGCTTCGTATGGCACTGAAAAATGAGGGGAGAGTGTTACTGTAAATATAGGATTTCAGGGAAAGTAATATTATAGTGGAAGGGATCAAACGGAGGTCACCCCCTGGATTCGCCCCTCTGTGATGCATGATTAATTTACTGGAGTAATCGGTATATGAAACATCTTCTTTACTCTAGTTGCGTCAGTTCAGAAGAGTGTCCAAGGCTCATGCACACCACATGTCTGAAGAAGAAAAGAAGAAGAGAAAGAAGTCTGCCAAGAAGGTATGGATCGGTATGGATATCTTGTGACTATTATATACCTTTAGTAATATTTTTCTCTTTTCCCCCTTGACAGTCTCAAAAATCAGACTCAGCCAGGCCAGTGAGTCCTACAGGTAAGATAAGGCGTTATCTTTTTGATGCGTATAACATCCATGTTGAATGACAAATCTGATGTCAAATGGTCTCTTCAATTAGCCATTTCGAGAGGAAATGGGGAACTGGATCGAGTTTGGCATTGCAGTGCATTGTGGGAATATTTTAAGGGAGAAAAAAGACGCCATCTTGGAAATATTTTTCCTAAAACAGTCTCACATCGATGGCAATGCCAGTGGCGAATCCAGGGGAGGGGTGCGCACCCCTCCCTGGTTCGACTTAATGCCCCTACTTAGAAGATAGCCAATACAAAATAACGTTTTTTCCTTTGATTTTGATTTTTCCCCTCCCTGAACAAATTCCTGGATCCGCCCCTGAATGCCAACTCGACACAGTTTTTTTCTTAAACCTCGGAATGGCTAATAGGTGGCATAAAAACTTTGTATCAGAACAAAAGGAGAAAAATCATTTGCAATATTTTGGTTGGCATGAGATTTTGGTTGAAAGAACCAAGGAAGGAATCAATAAATATGAACTGAATAATAAACGAATGAAATTAGAGACAGAGGAGACAGTAGTGCACTGCATGTATGCACCGCACGTTAATGCCATTTAGAATATAATTCTAGTAAAGGAGACAATAGGTAGACAATAATACTCTTATTTTCTAAACAATCTGTCCAACATCCACCTCCATGGCTCGCCCAAGGTCTTACTCGTCCTGTTTCAATGAGTAGCCCTGGGATGAGCTTTGTGAGGTAGGTGTATTCAAACTGTGTTCTTACGTACTTTATGTCTTCTATGAAAAAGACTTTGAGCATGAAGTCACATCGGCATCTTATCACAGTACCTAACGTAAGTGTACGTTTTTCTTCTCCTTCTTTTGCTAACTTTACCACAAACTGTGCTTTTGTATTCCATTTCTTGGTGTTTTCACAAGGATTCCGTCTTTTTACACCCTTATAATAATGTTGTTTTTGTTGTTGCACTGTTCTCCACTATCTTACCTGTATAACATAAAACTGGTGTAGCTACTACTACATTATGTGCTTTGCTGTCATACCCATCTAACCCGTTCAAGCTGTCTTATTATAATAGGTGGACGTAATGTTTATAGATATTGTCCCGGACGTGGTCTATCTAAATTACAATCAATCAAAACTAAGGGACGGACCATTAGATAGTTGATGGGGGGGGGGGGGGGGGGGGGAAAGCCCCAAAAAAAAATCGGGCAAGCGCTTAACCCCCAAAAAAAATATCGTGCAACCTCTTCTGCTAGAAGAAAAATGTCTAACTGTACGCAAAAAAATAACTTGCAAGGTTTAAGCCAAAAAAAAATAAAAAATCATGCAACCAATATTCCTGCAACCCCCCCCCCCCCATCAATTATCTGATGGTCCATCCCTAATTTCTTCGTCTTATTTCCACCTATTGCAAACATTATATCTCTACTACAGCCACTTTATTAACTGCCCTTCAATGTCGTAACCAAAGTCAGCTATCAAAGTTTATTTCTCATTGAAAGTTCAATCTAACATAAGGCTCACTACTAAACCACTTTAATCAAAGATTATTAGAGTAAATGTAATATTTTAATAGCTTGACATTAAAGAACTGCAGTACGTCAGTTAATCTTAAAGTCTGACTTTACGATTACAGTAATACTAATATGGTAAGACGATATCATATTTCCAGTTGAGGGCGTCATCCCGCCCCCATTTCCGAAGTTAGGTTGAAATAATGTACTTCTTGCTTGGTTTTGGTTTTCAAAACCTGCACTTTTCGCTAATAATGGTCTATCACTAAAAGACAACTAGTAGCTTAGCCAATGAGCGCACAGGATTTGTGATAGACCATGATCGTAACAATGTGACAATGATCGCACCATTAATTAGCGTTTCATCATGACAAATTTACTCTACTTCCCCGAATATGAAACTTTTCGTGGTTGAATGAGAAACTGGTAACAAGGACGCGCGCTGAATTGTGGAGACGGAACGCTTTTTTTTTCAATATCCAAGTAAGCTTAGCAAATACTTTTGAAAAACAGACCCAAAACCTAAGTAAATGTGACTCGATTCAAAAACTCAAAACTGTAAAAAACAAATGGGGTCCCCTTAACAGCCCCATGATTCAACGATTCAGCACACGCCCTACTCGTTACCAGTTTACCGCTCAGTCTCTAAAAGCTCAACACAACATAGTAGTATTCATTTTCCGTTAACATTTGAATATTTAGACTAAATTTAGTAATGTTTTACTGAATCACTGCAGAAAAATATAGCTTATAGGATAAACATCACATAACCTTTGTAACTGTGACCTCTTTGAACTTTTTAGCGACAATTCTTTTTTTGACCAATTGTTTCCAGGTCCCCCACCATCGTCGCCAACCCCGGTCTCTCGTACTCAAGCTCCAGCAGGTATGTTAATACGATGTACACCACCACAACCAGAATGCTTTACGCACTTTACTTTGACAGGCTCGGTATCACATGTGCGAAAGAAAAGGTTGTTCAACCGTGTGTCCACACCTTTGCATTAGCACAGTCAGTACTTGTTTTAGGGTATCGATAAAGTTTTGAAGGTTTTTCCTCCCAGTTAATTACGGTCAATTTTCTACTTTTCACCATTTTCCGTACATTGGTTCACTGGTCAAACACAAAGCGCTCAAGCGAGGCGCCAAGGTACTTTCAAAGGATTATTCAAATTTGAACCTTGCAACCTCGACGGAATGCTTTGTGTTTGACCAGTGAACCGATGTATGGAAATGGTGAATTCTCATGAGGTAAACGGACCTTTAAATGATAATAACTAATGAACTTTATTTAAAGAAGGATTAAAAAGTATTTATAAAATACACCAGTTTAGGTAATAGTTAATCTTACACTAGGCCTTCTGTTACCCTTTAGCCTGTACCTTTTGCAGTACACAAAATACGTGACTGTAACTACGCTTTTTATATGATCAGACCTCATGTTAATGACATATATTTGGCTACTGTAGTTAGTATTCAGAGGATTTTAGTCTAAGGTACTTTTTTCCTTATGTTCTAGCGCCAACCCCTTCAGCGCCGCCGCCGCCACAAGCTCCCACAGCACCGCCACCTCCTGCTACCCAACAACCCGCACGAAGTACCCCTCCCCCCTCAAGTCAAGGGCGTGGGGCTCTCCTGAGTTCTATTTCAAGCTTCAAAAAAGGTGGACTGAAGAAGGCCGTCACGGTAGACAAAAGTAAACCCAAGCTACAATAACTAATTCTCAAGAGAGTAGTAAGAGTAGCTAGTTTTTTTAGTTTTATGAATTTAGGTAAAATGGTGGATGCATCAATGACATCCATCTATCGCCGTTTCAAATTCGGTCTCTTGGTGCTTTTCAGTTTTGGTCGTGCTGTGGGTGATTACAACCGAGAAGTACTAAGGCGAGAGAGCCGTGAAAATAGCTGGGTATTTTCCCGTTATTTTACACGCTAATTTTTTAGAACCTATATCGTTCGAATGTCAAATCACATCCGGTAACCCAAGATGCTATGCGAAATCCGGAGGATTTCAAGTCGTTTCAAAAGCAATTAGATGGGAGATGGATGACCATCTACCAAGTTCTGTGCGTTTTTCATAATTGGGTTCGAGTTTCATTTTATTTGAGGTTCTAGGTAGGGTAGAGTTTAATTGATTCAAAATGGCGACTATGACGTCGCGTGAAAAATTGAAGTCACTCTGTAGGACAAAACGACGAATCTGAGTTCTGAGGCCGCATTCTTTCAAAAGTGACGCGAAACCTTCTTTTATTGGTTGTTTCCGCCGAGCAAATTTTATCGTGCAGCTTCATCCAACTGTTTTTCGCTTCTCTGTTCGTTCTCGTACCCAATCCCTGCTCAGCTTTTGAACGAAAAATCGATTTCGCTGAAAACTTTTAGTTCTGGCTACGAGAATGCTTCTCTGTTATCATTGATAACTGTAGAAGAATCGATACATCTTTGGGTTTGCGCGTTCAGGGATGTGCGAAGGAAGAGACACCTTCCTTCTTATCCGAGCAAGGTCCATTATTCCGATTCAACAACAATGTGGCTCATGAAGCTTAGAAAACACGATTTCAAATTTATAATACGAGAAATTTCTCAATATAGTAGGTTTAAATTCCAAAAAAATATATTTTACAATGCTGTATATCTGGAAAATAGAATTTCAATGATCTTGTTTGTATTGTACAGGTATGCATTAGTATTTCACATGAGAGCAAGGAAATGATTTCGACCACTCTGAGGTGGCGGAACTGAATGATTACCCATCGAATTGTTAGGTAAAATGTTTAAGGGAAAACAAAGATGCATGAACAATATCATAAGAAAATACACAAGAAACTAGCTTTGGTGAAAATATCACACAGCATGCATTACTAAATTTATCTACAAAATAAACTTGCATATTTGTTTGCCTTTAACAATTTCTTTTGTTTGTTTTGGAATGTCATGGATCGTCTGGTTGCGATAAGCGGTTTGCACCCAAGATTTTAAAACATTAATCTGAATGAATTGGTAATGCGCATGCGCGAACTCTGAGGTGAGTGAAGCGGCAATGCGCATGCGTGTACTTAAGATATAATAATAATAATAATAATAACTTTATTTCACACAGAATTCAGAAAGCTAACCACTTACACTAAAGCTGTAATAATCATAATCATAATCATAATCATAATCATAATCATAATCATAATCATAATAGTTTATATAATCACGTCCAAGAGCGTAGATCTCGTTCAAAATAAGAACGTGCATATCCAAATAATTCCCTTTGAGAACGCATCTTACGAAGAACTTGGTGCGAATCAAGAATATTGCGATCAAATATTGTTCAAAGTTGCAAGAAAGTATTTCTATTGCATAATACAGACTTGTAGTGCGAGGGGACATGCCACTAGAAATACCCTGGGTGCTAGCCTATAGACCTTTAGGCGCAATGTTTGACACCGCGTGAGTTTCCCTAGAGTATGATTTCTTTGTTTAATGATTGGGAACGAGAAGACGCATGAATATAGATACAGCTCAATGTTTTCCCATTTCAGCCCACGTGGCAATCCCTAGAGCATCATTTCTTTGTTTAACGGTTGCGCCGGAGAGCAAACGCTCAGAATATTTTTAGTACATATTAACACATATTATATCTGAAAACCAGGCCGTTTTAGATTAAACTGTTTCGCTAGGAGCAAATTTTGTTAAATTTTCTATTGGATTTGGCGATTCTATCCCCCACATAAACAAGTAGTGACGTCATAGTGAATTAGGTCAATTAGATGAGGTCACATTCGATACTTTATGCTACCCACTAATTAAACCAGTGGATATTTATTTTTGTATCGGTTTAGAAAGTAAATCACATAGCAAACAACTTCCCATAAATTAAACGAGGGTAGTTTCGACCCTATTCGATATGTTACCGTTGTGTTGCGAAAGGCCGTGCCACGATAGCGAACATGTTGGTACATGCATAGACCGCATGGGTGATTGCACTGAGGGGGGAGGGAGGGGTAGCTTGATGACACGAGATATACTCTTTCGATTTTCACGAACAATTTTGTACACATTGAGTATTGGTTGATATGTAATATATACAGTATGAGTGGCCGTTTGTATATCGGATACAACACGAATACTGTAGATTGCTTATCAAACGTCTAGGTTAGTTCCTTTGTTTCACTAAAATTTTCAAAATTAAAGTGAATCTGGCCAAGAAAATCCAAGTTAAAGTTTATGCAAATGAACAGGATTCTGTATCTGATTTACAACACTCTTGACGGTCGTAATTTCTATTGTGTTTTCCTCATGAATTATTAATGAGTTTGATAAGTATTATTGCATTGAATCTCACGTAAGTAGGGTTCTGTTTTATATATATATATATCAACAAGTTTCTATCTTACCCATGTATTTTGGCATTACTGTATTCTAATTACAAAAAATTAAAAACGTTTATCTGCTTATGAAATTCATATTTCGCTTGCCTGGCGGTCACGTGATGGCAGTTTATACAAATTACCATATCAATAATATCAATCATCGTACATTCCAAACTGTGTTCAGTTTACTCCTGAATAAAACAAAAAAATCTATTTTCATGCATTATCAGTGAAACACTTCCTTGCAACTTTATACCATATTTCATCCTATTATTCTTGACCGGAGTTTTCGTGCAATGCGTTTATTACAATAACTTACAAATTTCTCACTCGCTAATTGGTTATTTTTTATCATCAATAAGAGGACAGACAGATAAAGCTGACGTCAACGAGCGCGCGCTCTTTCCGTTGGTTGTTTTGATCACTAAAAATGAGAAGTTTTTATCGTTTTTGTTATTGTAAAAAACAAATAGACATCAGTTTTTCTGATGTCAATTTGTTAAATTCAAAGGTAATTTGGGTGTATTTTGAGAACACGCATGCGCACTGCCGATTCACTTAGATCAGATTTCGCGCACGCGTATTATCGACTTCTTGAAATCAGTATTTTAAAATGTTAGGCGCATATCGGTGATGGTCAAGAAACTAAATCCGCTGTTTTCCCGTTTCAAGTCCTATTCTTTGTCATCTTCAATTAAGTCTTATTTTGACGAAACTCAAACATTCAAACATTTCCCCAAAATAGTCTTAGGGACTATTTCCAATACAAATACGTTGTCTAGGAAACATGCAAACAGTCAGTAATTCCTTTCTGCGATATAATTTTTCTAGTAGATATTTGAGGAAAAAATCCAGGAATAGAGGCTTTGCACCATCTCAAGATGGAATGCATGACTGAATTCTTTCCCATGTTAAATAAGAGTAGACCAGATTCCCTACTAGACCCTTGCATGTGACGTCAAAGGAGCTCAATTTGGAGGACAAGACAAAAGAATTTCAATCTGCTGAGAATTGTAATCTATATTGTTTTGGCCTCAAGATTGAGCTGCATTCCGACGTGCTGCAAAGGGTCAATTGCCCCTGCCTCCTATCGTGGCTGCCATCTACTGGTGCAAAGCCACTATTCACGTCCAGAGGTAACGGGTACTAAGTAGACGCACCCCCACTCCTTCCCTCCCCTCCCCCCTAAACCAAGTCCCGTAACATTACAATTGTCTTATATGGTCAAAAAGTTCGCCCACCTTCCACAAAAATTACACATATACAAATTGAATCACAAATTAAATCACACTGCTTTCAATACGAAATTTAGGCAAATGCCCAATTACTTTGACAACAGCAACAGGGGAAGTCGAGCCAAAAATTTCCCCTCGTATGTTGACCAAAGCTTCAACAAAATTTCCCCAAAGTATGCTGAGATACCTTAACAGTCCATCGTAATAGACATTGAAAAAGTTAATGAGTTATTAGTGTCAATGGCTAGAAAATCTGGCTCTCGACCAGCCCAATACATGTTGAATTTGAGTCATATACACTGAAATAGAATCACAAGCTCCGAATCAGCACCGTTACATCGAGTGTGTGTAGCTCCACATCTGGTTTATTTACAGAAAGAGACAAAAGGTCGTGCATGCTGAAACACAGTCAGTATGCCCCCGCATTATGATCAAGAGAGCGTTTCTCCTAACCGTCGTCGCCACTAGAATTATTATTATTAGTTTTTAAAATGTTTTTCGGGGGAAAAACCTGTAGTATTATCCCTCTTCATATGACACTACTCGTGGCAAAATCGGTTCGACATGTTAGGATCAATGCGAGCTCGACGCAATCATATTTCTGTTGGCATCTAATCTACATATAATCCACAGCTGTAGGTACTAAGTCTAGACGCGTTATTAAGCCTCTACAGTCTCCAGTCCATTGAAAGGACAACCCTATGCTCTCAGCCGCATAGACGTTGAGAGAACTTAGGATTCTATCTATGGTAAGTATTAAACCGGAATTCAAATAAGTCTGTTGTTGCCTATTATCATTAGTTTTAAAAATGCAAATTAGGACGATATCTAGGAGCTGTTTATCCAGGATTTTTTTTAAAAAAAGGGATATTATAGCTAATACTATTCCTAGGTTATTAAGTTATCAAATAGGTTAACTATTATTCTTAAGAAGTCGTGCATTTTAACGAATAAATTTAATATTTATACAATGTGGCTAACTCCACAGGCCTAATGCGCGGCTGAGACGGAAGTATCGAGCCAAGACCCTTATCAACAACACTAGTTTGGTGTTGAACTTTCACATTATGGACCGGTAGTCGAAGGGATCAAATTAAACATTCTGACGTCTCGGTCAGTGCTTTCATTTAATGCGTAAGATATTCATGTTTGAATCCAGTTGTGTCAGCGCGCCTTGTTGAGCTAGCAACCCAGCCCTGATACACAACGTCTGTCTTTCTTTGCAGAGCCAAGATTTACAGCTCTCGAAAGTAGACTTCGCTTTGGGTATATTCAAGAGAGGGGGAGTTTTAACTTTGACAGAAGAGAACAATACTTTGGTAAGTGTTTTTTGTTGGCTTTTTTGTTTTTTGTGTTTTTTTTCTTCGTTAGTTGTTAAGCATAAGATTACTAAAGAGCCAGGATTAGAATAAGTTATCTCTAAGACTAACGATTTACTCGCAGTGTGGACTAAAGCACTTTCGTTTAGAAAGAATAGTTTCAATAAAGAAAGGTTTTTTCTCAATCTCGCTAAGTTTGTTGGAAAATAAAGCACCCCGCCCCTTTACAAATCACACCGCATTTCATGCCATATTAAAACATCAAAAATCCCCAAATCTGATTGCTCATTTATGTTGTTTTATTCGTAAAGTTAGTCAATTTTTTTACTCTTATATACTAAAGGATACTGTGTGAGTTATTTGGACAGTTTTTTCTTATGTCACATTTCTTTCGTCTTGTCTGGTTGTCACCAGCACTATGGTTAACCATCGTATTTTAATATCTCTAATTTATGCTAATGAGCCGCATTCTCTAAGCTTCAGACGTACGTTTCTTCGTTATTCATCGTCGTTTTCGTTCTTACTCTTGGATACGACGCTATGCCTTGGTGTCCTTGGATTCTGGTTATTTTGTTGCTTGTTTAGGCGTTGCGTTGGGTCACAAACTAGAAGTTACTTTCTAAATCTACTTAATACCAACTATCTATGACATTTGCAAACAAAAGTTACTGTAGTTAATTTACCTTGTATGAGCAGCTTAGGACATCAGTTATTTTTCAAATGCGCTTAATATTCGTTTAAATAAGATTCAAATAAGTATAAATAAGTTTTTTTTTAACTGAGGAAAAAAGGGAGCGCATTTTTGGAAACCCTTTTCTTTTATCTTTCGTGAATTTCCTTTAAAAGATGCTTCTTTTATGGAAGATTTTGGAGAAATCATCAATGTACTTGCTAGCGCCCATCCCTAGCTTTATCAAATAGCTGTTTAATTGTTGACATACCTCTAAAACTGTACCCGAATCGTGTGACCTCTCGAAACTAAGCATCCAACCTTGAGATCGTCTATGTATGGACTCCTTAAAAATGCGTTTCTGCAAGCTTCTTGGAGAATTTATGTCAGAAACGTTAGCAAGCTGTTTTGAAATCCAGTTTCCTTTTTATAATTTGAACATTCTATTAAAAGGATGAAAGAGTATGGTGTTTTTTACTCCTAAACAAGAATAAATTCCGAAAAACAAGCGAACACGCCCCTCCATCCTGTTGCATGTGTTCGGTGAAATGGTATCCGAAATTGGAAGACATGGACTTAAAAAGCTTGCAAGTTTTTATATTTCTCGTAAACTCTAGCCAGTTACTCATTTTGTTTCTGTCTCGATTGATATTTTTTGTCAGTAGAACGTTGCGCTCGCGTTCGGGGCTATGATATATTTCGTTCCCCAAAAACGCGTGATGTACGTCAGTATTTGATATAGAATATTGAGATTATGCTGAACTAAATAGCCAACTTAACCAGCAACGCACTAAGCACTAGCTTTTGTGGCTTCGGTCGACATTCATGGATTGTTATTCTTTTAATTCTGTGTAAATTTTCTTTGAGTTCAGGGATATTTTTAGAAACTGCATTCTTATCTGAACATTCCAGACATTCCAGCTTTTCGCTAAATGTGGTTAAAAGTTTGGATTAATATTTTGTTTTATTTTACCTACATTTGAACGTCTAATTCTTTGGATCCTTATTCTGTTCTACGATCAAAACAACAGAAAAAATAGCTACTTTCTTTTTCCATAAAGATATCTATCGTGAAAGAATATGTAGTGGATATTTGTAGCAACATGCTAAGAGTGGTTCTAGGCAGAGCACTCGCTCTAATTAGCTGTTTGTTTCAGAGCACGTGCTGACTCTAATTGGCTATCTCAAACGCCATCTTCGCCCTGATTGGCTTGCGCAACTCCATCTTCATCTCTATCATGGCATCGGTCACTCGTAAATCTTTTTTGCTTCTTTCGTTTAGAGAACTTTGCATTGTTTGATGAAACTGGACAAGTTTTCAATGTTCTCAACAAAAACTTATGGTATTAAAGCTTTGATTCAAAAATTACTTAGTATTCCGTCTCTCATGAGCTTGGCTGATCCCAGCTACGGATTTATTGACTTGCTAGCACCGTTAGACAAAATATATTTTCTATTTCCCTTAAGGGAAAAGAAAAAAATAAACTATGCATTTTTTGTTTCGCAAATTAAACTTGTGTAAAGAAGTTATCCGTTTCTGTTAAGCGAAAGTTTTTTGATGCATAGTGATGTATACTTTTCGGTTTGTCGATGAAAACAAAAAACTGTTCCAAGCTTGAACAGATGGCTACATTCAAAATAAACACTGCAGTAGATTGAAAATAAATCAACTATTCTTTCGCTTTCTGGAGAGTTCGGTAGATAATAATAATAATGCTGTTAATGTTCTGCGTTAGATAAATGCATTGAACAGGTTTCTGTTATAATACAATACGATACGAAAGACTTTCACTTTCTGCGCGTTCGCTCGCAACAAAATTGTCCTCATCAATTAATTAATTATAAGGTTAATATCAAAGTTATTGGAAATTAGTAATTTTATATTAACAATTTGTATCTATTCGTGAAGAAGCGCTTATTTTGCATTATGTTATTCTGGGATTTCTGGAACATTCGAAAAAGTCTACATATGGAACATTCTGGAACGAATTTGAAAGATTTTTTGGCGCTTTGGCACATTCAGATAAAGTTTACATATACAGTATCATAGTTAATAGATATTAACTATGTCTAAACCATCTAGCACTAATCACTACCCAAACTTTTACGAAAGAAGCATAACATTCCGTTAACTTTAGTCACTTGTATTACTCATTCAGCTTTGCGGCCTTCTATGATCAGTAGAGAAATCGCATAGATTGACAGCGATTCCTGGACTCGGTGTAACATGTGAGCAGAGTTTGTTAGGTTCGTCTGCCTTCAGTGTCTCGATTAAGGGTTTTTTTCCCGTTTTCTTCGCGAAACCTTTCATGCTAAATTCTGAAAATTGGCCGTGCCCAACTTCTATCAGCCCAGATAATGTTTGGCAGGGTATCGATAAAATTTGAAAGTTTGAAACGAAATTCGCCCATAAAATTACAAAGACGTACGTATTCCATCAGCAAGTTCAACTAGACCTCATCAGTAGATGATATCTAGGAAATGAGACATTAATAGTTCTAGTAAACATAAATCTATACTAAACCAAAATGGTAACTTATGTTTGATTATTCTGAACTGACACGTCCAAGACAAAGACAATCATTAAATTTTGCGAAGAAAAATTCCTCCAAAACAAACTCAATCATATATAATGGCTTTTCTGTGGCCACATCTTTGGGATTTAGGACTTTGACGAAGAAGACTCTGTGGGGCAAATCATTTCTTCATCAAGTCCGCTTTTGACTCATTGAGTGGATCTCTTTGTAAAAGCTATTATGCATCGTTCTTAAAACTAAGAATGCTGAAGCCTTGTCTCATATAATGAAAAAGAAAGAAAAAACTTCAAGTGCCGACTATTGTAAACACACCGCACGTACTAAAGCGAGAATCGGATTGAAGAGACTCTCGTTCAATACAAGGTTTGTAAGTCAATCTTACAAAGAAACCTAAACATCTTAAATTATGTTATACTTTATTCAAGTGAAGATTTTTGTTTTCATAGCTTTCCTAATCGTAAAAACCATACTCTTAGTTTTGTGAATGAGGCATTTGCCAACACTTAATTCCTCGATCCAGAATGAACGCCAAAAAAACACGTCTCACAGAACTCTATCTTGGAAGTCTAAAGCTTAAACTTGCATTTCAATTTAGTAGTTTTTAGTTTTAGAGGTCCATAGATTTAGACATTCATTGCGAATTCATTGTATGAGAATTTAGTATTTCGGAATGAAGGATAAAGCGATTCTTATTTAATCTTGTTGAGGCGCGTTCCCAATCGCTTTCGTTTTTATTGCCTTATGGTTGGCTGTACAAATTGATTCATATCGATCTTTCTTGCTATAACAGACATAGTAGCTAAGATTAATAAGTACTTGGCGGCCCTAAAGGTGTGGCTTTGTCTATGCGTGTCTAACTTTGAAATTTTACTCCGTTGCGCGAGTTATACAGTTAACTCTCGTCTTGCGAACACCCCGATATTACGGACAGGAGCAAAGTCCCCAGCAAAAATAATGACAAAGACATGACCGTAATTAATTCTCGTCATTGCGGACCGGCTCGCTATTACTTAGACTAAATGACGGTCCGCTGTAAAGAGAGTTGACTGTATATAGATCTTCTACTCTATTTTTATTAAGATCTACGCGCTTTTAATCAAAACCTTACTAAAACCTTAGGTTATTCTAGACGATACTGCTTTGTTTTAGATCGCTACTTTATATATAGTTGATTGTGAGTTTGATGAATCTGTAATTCTATTTTACTTACTCTATCAAGATGCTTTTGGAGCTTGTCGAAGACCTCCAATAATGCGGTAGATTTGGTGCAATCACTCGGGGGAAAACATTACTTTTCTTGCCGTTTACATTTCTCTAGTAAATACATTTAAACGGTACCATTGTCGCGATCGTTCATTCAACGATCCTTGAAAGCAAGAGACGTCCGTTTTCGAAAACCTTAGTCCGCGTAAAACGAGTAAGAGAAGGACAGCCTTGCTATGTCTACTTCTATCTACTTCTTGTCGTGCTGAATGCGTTTGATGCCCAACAGTCACCATTATATGCGAATAGATTCTCTCCTATGCTACGAGGGCTCATTTTCCCTGGGCTCCGCAAGCTAAGCGATATAATATACTTAATATTTGATGATTTCAAATATAAACTTGAACAAGGTCGTTTAATCATTTTAACCAAGATTGGTGTGTACTTTTGCGTTGATTCAAATGAAAATGTTTGGCTTAGCATTCACTTTTGCTCTGTGAAACGTTTTTTTATATCTTTGGGCTAAAAGACGAATTCTATGTAGTGTGTTCTTTTCGTAGTTAGCAACTTGATTTTTCTTCACCAATTTA